ATTGGAAATTGTGATTAATACGTGTGGTTGTATGTGTTTGCCCTCATAATAGGGGGAATGATGGCTTGTGAGTAGATTATCGATCGACAACTGTCTGTGATCTCGGCGAGCCGCTCCAATTCGGCAAAGCAGCAGTGCATCACTTCAATGAAGCACTTCTTACAGAGGCTCTCTAGGTAGGGGGCGCGAGGGGTAGAGGTTGTGGATAGTTGTATGCAGGCAATATGATATTCATGTTGATACTGGCAGCTGGAAGAAACGCCTTGAAGCTGAGGGGGAGGGAGCGGCACCTACTTGGAATTGGTAGGGGATCTTGTTTTATTACGCAAAGAGTTTATTCGAGTTCTACTCGTTTTACGTGGAAAAAGGCTTTCTGCGAAGTGAATTGTGAAATATGTTTTCCCGAATGTTTTTCATATCGCGGGTGAAACTCCAGAGGCTGATGAGGAACTGGGTTGTGCGGTAGACGAAGTTCATTGAGTTGTTCCATGAGGAGTATCCGATGGTGTGGTATGATGCAGGTGCGATCAGCTTTTGGTATTCCGTCCGCTGGACTCTCGAGGGTCTAAGGTGTTGCCGACCCCGATGTCTTCAGCTATGGACACTGATAATTGCGAGGTAGCATTTCATACCATCTTTCCGCCAAATCGTGTTTGAAGTAGGTCCGTATAACGCATGTAATGCTGTGTACCAATTATGTTGGTCTCATTGTTGGCGATGTTCAAGTAGATGGTGAGGAGAGTCGGGAGAGGCTTGCGGCTGGTAAGGCTGCTAGTCGCACTCTTGATTCGCTGCCTCTTTGAGAAAGTCCCCCCATAGAAAATTCTTAGGATTTCCTTTATTTTTTAGGTGTTATTGTGTGTGGTCGGTCTGGAGGTCTGCCAGGGCAGTCGCCGGTGGGGACGTACAGAGCAATAGACGTAGTCAGAGCGGCACTACGCAGAAACAAGGACGTTCTGGATAGCGACTGGACTATGCAGGGCGTGAAGGAGCTGAGGGACGTAATGCAGTAGAATGTTGTATTGGTATTGTGATGATCATCTACCGTTTCAGCTGGACGTGACACCGCAGTCGAGCCTCACGAATGTGGATCATAAACATGAGGATGTCTACGTCCAAGAGCTGAGCAAACCGATGATCATAGCGGCGCCTCGAGAGACCATCACGGTTAAGCAGAGAGCTCCTCAACCTCGCTCTGGGGTAGGGGCTGGATCAGTGCTGGTTGTTGGTGTTGTTAGTTGGAAGGCTTCATATTTTCAGTCGACGAGTGGGTTGGTAGTGCCACCATGGAGGAGGGGGACTAGCGCGACAGATGAGCAGCAGCAGCTGCCTTGGGCTAGTGGTGCAGCGGCAGGTCTACACAGGCAACAGAGTGGTAGGGAGATGCTGACTATGTCGAATGCCTTATTACGTACTGGGGAGAAGAGGGAGTACACCGACTTCCAGACGTGCTTGGATAAGGAAGGTATCAGGGACACATCTAGGCTTGAGAGAAAACGTCCTCTAGGGTTTGATAACAACTGATGTGATGACATTTGCTGATTGGAGAATGTGCTCCTAGAACATTAGAGATGAGTTCCCCCCCCCCTGGGCACATTATAGGTTTCTGGATGATTTCCTGGTGTGGACTGCTTGTAGGCGTCATGGGTGGTTGCATGCTTAGGTCGTAGTTATGGTATTCTCGAAATGCTGAGGGTTCGTCAAGGCGCTGCCAGTGAGGAGCCACCTAAGGAGCTTAAAACACTGCGAGTGGTGAAGAGCGAGGCGGTTGGGGAGAAGAAGAAGCGAGATGGTGAAGCTGAAGGGAATAACGTAGGGGGACGATTTTCTATGGGAACTGAGGGAACTACTGAGGTAATTATCGGTTGAGTTTGTGTTGCTGTTCCTGACGGGGTTCTGTTATAGAGTGTATCTTCACCTTCGAGACCTCGTGCTGCGGAGCCAGCAAGGGAGGCGCCGTGGCGATCGGTAGCTGTGCCGCCGAGTAAGGAGGCAGCAGGGTTTTGGTGATTTGCTGGAGGAGTGGTATGAGGCATCATTATTTGGCGTCGTAATATTTCTTCCGGCCTTATTGCTGAGCAGCTGTGGTTGACCACTGTTACGAAGATCTCTATTGCTGCCGCCTCCGCCGCTGTCGCCTATTGATACATCATCACCGTACCAGTTATCGGAAAGATCAGTTTCTATTCCCAATCTCTTTCCATTTATAACAGTCAGCCTGTGACTTGAGTTCAGTGAGGTGACTATAGTGTGGCTATCACAGTTGTCGTTGTGAGCCTCTATGGAGAGGAGGAGGAGGAGGAAAGTGCATCGTTGGTGTTGGAGAGGATTAGTAGTACTCATTGTTGGAGTGTATGAGCTGATGGACAGTATAGGTCTCTTTATAGCCCCAGGTTTGTCTAGGGCAACTCGTTTGAGAGGTCAGCACGGCAGGCAAGAGGTCGCGGGTTCGATCCCTGGTTGGTATACTTTTGGAGTACGTACTACATTCGCAGTATTGACGTTGATCCCTTCCCTTATGCTTGTTGCTGGCTTGTCAAGGGCGGTGAAGAGAGCTCAGCAGCGATGTCTCGTTGCTGCCGCTCGCCATGCGTCCTCTGCTCTCTCGCGAGGCGGACTGAAATCGCTGGTTACTAGTACAGCCGGTCTGGGTCGGTCAACGAGACGGTTAGCTCGGGTAAAACGTCCCAATCGCGTGACAGTAGGGGATCACATGCACGGTTTTACTCTGGTGCAATCCTCGACTATTCCGGACATATCAGCCCAGCTGTATGTCTTCGATCACGACCAGTCCGGTGCCCGTTTGATAACGCTCAGCAACTCTGACTCCAATAAGGCCTTTGGAGCAGCCTTTCCAACTCCACCAGAAGATAATTCGGGCGTGGCACATGTACTGGAACACTCAGTACTCTGTGGTAGTCGGTCGTATCCTACCAAAGACCCCTTTGCGACGCTGCTGCAGTCAAGTCATCAGACCTTTTTGAATGCTCTCACATACCCCGACAGGACTTGCTATCCGGTGGCCTCGTGTAATGGTCAAGACCTGTATAACCTGGCTGATGTATATATCGACTCGTTGTTGCACCCCAAGGTGGTCGAGGAGGACTACATCATCAGGCAGGAGGGCTGGCGAGTGCAACCAGGTGAGGCGCCGGAGGAGACTTCAACTCTGCAAGGGGTTGTCTATAATGAAATGAAAGGCGTTTATTCAAGCGCTGATATGCTGCATTACCGAATGATAGGCCGGGCGTTGAACCCGGAGAATTGCTATCGATTTGATAGTGGTGGAGATCCTGGCTGCATTCCCAGGGAGCTGAATCAGGAAGGGCTGGTGGAGTTCTATAAGGCTCATTATCATCCCGGCCGAGGGCTCTTCTGGTTCTATGGTGATGGGGAGGTTGGGAAACAAGTTGAATGGTTATCAGGAAAACTAGGGGAGTATAATCGTCCAAAATCCTCATTGGACTTCGACAACGCTCAGAAGTACATGCAGCTTTGAGAGATCTCAGCGACCTGCCTCCCACACGGGTCACTTTTGATTATGATCCCAACATGCCCGATTTCGGAAGTAAGTCGCAGGTGTCTATGGCGTGGTTGCTCAACGATAAGCGACTCACTATGGACGACCGTATTCGGTATGCGGTTTTTGATTCTCTAATGCTGGGGCGGGCGAGCTCTCCTCTAGCTCGAAAGCTGCTGGATTCTGGGCTTGGAAAGTCTCTGGCGATCGGAAGCGGCGTTCAGGATGATCTACGGCAAGCTGTTTACTCAGTGGGGTTGAAGGATGTGGCAAAGGAGGATGAGGGGAAGGTCGGCGAGCTTGTCATGAAGTGTCTTGGAGAGGTCCGGGCGGAAGGGGTGGACCCGCTGGACGTGCAGGCGGCTCTGAACTCGGTCGAGTTTAAATTGAGAGAGTTCAACACTGGACAATTACCGAGGGGGGTTGCTTGGTTCTTGTCGGTGGCACCTGAGTATTTGTATAATGGGAGGGAGCATGATGTGAGCGAACTGATGAGGTTTGAAGCTCCATTGAGGCGGCTGAGGGAAGATATCGCTGCTGACAAGCCTGTTTTTGAAGGAATTATCGATGGTATTATTGGGAATAAGCATCGCATTGTGGTCATCACGAGCCCAGAGGAAGGGAAAGGGGAGCGGCTGAGACGAGAAGAGAAGGAGTTGTTGGAGGAGGTTCAGAAGGATGGTGGTCGGCAGCTGGCGACAGGATGTGAAAGAATGATGGTATGGCAGAATAGTGAGGACAGCTTTGAAGATATCAGTAAAATACCAATGTTGAGGAAGGCGGACATGCCTAGAGAGGATGAGGAGATCTCCTGTGATGAGGACCAGGGCATTCTCTGGCACCCGGAAATTCGCACTCAGGGGCTCGTCTACGCTGATGTCGTTTTTGATGCTACTGGGTTGAACATAGAGGAGCAGGTGGAATTGCTGGGGCTTGAATGACGCAATGATGGGCTGCTTTTTTTCAGTGTCGACTGCCGGTGGTGATGCGGGGGCTCACCGAATTGGGTCTTCACAAGGCAGATTCGGTGCAACAACTGCACAGGAGGATCGAGATGGGGACTGGGGGGATATCTGTGAGTTGACTCTTTTACGGTATGGGTTTGACTGGTCGTATGTGGTAGGGTGGAATAGTGAATGTAGCTACGCAAGGAGGCGGTCGGACGGCTGCGGTAGTGAGAGGCCGATGCTTGTTGGAGAAGGTGGAGGCTATGGCGGACCTTATGGGTAGCCGGGAAGGGCTCTAGGGGGAGGAGAAGGAAATGCTCCTTGTAGTAGATAGTGAAAGAGATTAAGTCCAATGGTGTTTCATCGTTGTTTTGAGAGAAATCATTGAGACTAGACATGATGGTAGTCGTGGGATGATGTAGTAGTAGTAGTAGTAGCGTATATGAAGTTAAAGTGTAGTAGTAGTAGTGAAAACACTAGTAGTAGTAGTAGTAGTAGTAGTAGTAGTAGTAGTAGTAGTAGTCCTTCTCCACCCACAGCAGTTTCGTCGTTGGTGATGTTGTTATTGTCCTGCTGTAGTTGCTATTGTTAACGACTGTGATTGGTTGGGTGATCGTCGACGACTTGCAGAAGTGGTTGACGAGCTGTGCAGTAACTGGGAACAGAGCATGCTGGTAGGACTAGTCCCTATCGATCATTTTCCCATCTTTCACCATCTTGGGAAGGGCTGCCGTGTTGGAATATATCTTCTGCTGAGCTAACTCGAAAATTGTCACATGCCTCTGAGTAGGAGTTCATAGAAACAGTCTCTTGTTCGCGTAGTAGGCCATGTTCCAGGGGTTGTTATTCAGATTGGAGCTGGGCATCAGTTGGCACTGAGTGCTGCGTATTCCTCCTTGCCAACTCATAGTAGAGTGCATGACGCCAACAGAAGGAGTTACGCTCAGAGTGGTAGGTTGTTGTGGCAGCTGCTGGTGTGGTTGTCGTCATATTTCATTCTATGTAGGGCTGCCCTACTATCGGGAGTTATTGAGGTTACGCAAGTTGTTGTCATCCGAGGAGACGTGGGAGCAGGCCGCGGGGGAGCTGAGGGCTACAGCTCAGAATGCGATGAATCGGTAGAGTTTCATGTTCGTGGGAAGGTCTAACACGGTATAATTTATAACTAGACACGAGTGAAACGTTCAGCGACTTTAAAATCGATAGAGTTGCATGTGATGTATGGAACACTTCTTTTTGCTATCAACGAGACGAGTCTAGCACTGTATGGGTGAACTCTCCGTCTCGTTTAGAAGTATATAGTTACTGTATCGTCCTAAATGGTAGATGTCGGTCATAGTATAACCTTGTTTGTTGTTGTTGAGGGCAGAAACTTAGATTTTTAGTATGGTCATCCTGTTGCCCTTGAGTTTGAACTCAGTGAAAGAGTACGGCTCTAGAGAATTATATTTTCAACCTTGGCATAAAATCTATGCCATTGATCGTTTGTTCACTTCAAAATTATACACGTTTGACATAATCTACCATGTCAAACGAGTATAATTCTGTTTCCACTAAAAAAAAACTTTCAGGGATACATTCGCTGTAGTGAGTGCTGCTGGGCCGGAGGCTTCCAGAGACGCTTGGGGATCTTTTGGTGAACGCCTGACAGCTCCAGGTGATTTGTTGGCGTCGCCTCTTGTTGGGGTGATTTTATTACAGGTTCAGTCTCGCAGGCATCAGCGGTGTCGAGGACGTCCCTCGGTATTCCTGGTGAGATGTATGGCATTGTGGCGCCTTCAGTGCAGGTAGGCGCGTCAGTGTGGGGGGGGGGAGAATATGCGCATGGTTAACTAAATGTGTTGGTGATAATATGGAAATTCTGGAGAAATTTTGGGAAATTCTTAGTGATTTCTATACACTTGTAGCCGAATTCATGTTGTTTATAATTTTTTGAGGAAACTCCTAAGCTCAGCTGAGGAAAGCGAACATATAATGTTAATATATCATGTACCATATAATGTCAATATAATATCCTACCGCAACAATGTTGTAACATTTAAGTGTGCTGTATGGGCTAACCTCGACAACTATGATGCGCTTCGTGGTTAATATTATCATGTTACCTTTCTTTCAGATAGGGTACAATGCGAGGGCTCTCACAGTGCCTGATGACACTGACGTCGGCACGGCTATAGTAGCGGCTCAGCTTGTTAATATGAACTACATGTGGCAGCAGATTCGTATGCGAGTGAGTGAAACTACTCGTGGTACTTGGGGATTGCTTACATTGTAGGGGGGAGCATACGGTGCCTCGTGTCAATTCAATCATCGTTCAAAGAGTTTTGGTATGACCACTTACCGTGATCCGCATGTGAAGCGGTCTCTCGAGATCATGAGGGATGTGAGTTCATGTCATCAACGCTAATATTGATACGAGCCATTTTCTGCAGGCTGGCAAGTGGCTGCAGGATCGGTCCTCCCTAGATGACCGCACTGTAGAGCAAGCTACGGTTGGTGTTATTGGCCAGCTCGAAATTGGACATTTAATGCCTGATGAAGTAAGTTCAATTTCGATTCACACTTGTGTATGTTGTTTTTTCCCACAGACTTTGAGGACGTCCCTTATCCGTTGGCTCGCTGGTGAGAGTCGTGAGGAGCGGCAGGCCCGTCGACTAGGGATTCTGGGAGCAACTCGAGAAGGGATAGAAGACATTGGTCGGCGCGTTGGCGAGGCTGAGTTGTGCGCTGAGGTGAATCCTCGATGGCTATCAAATAGTAGACTTATGGCGTTTTGTTTAGGTCTGCATCGGCAATGGGGCGGCTCTTGAGGAGGCTGGTGTGAGTCCGTTACTTCCGCTAGTTGATCACGTGTGAAGAAGCCGACGAAGTTCATCCTGATGTTTCTGCGAGAAAATGTTGTGAAGTTGTTATTAATGCACATTCAGTTTACTAGAATGAGTTTGAATCACTTCAGACTCACGAGTTGAGAATATGTTGGATGCGAGTTGGTCATCACTTCCTCTACGGCGACGTTCCGGGCCGCTTCCGATTTCAAAAGCAACGTTTTTGACTGTGTCCATTTAGCTTAGTATTGATGGTATTAACGATATAGTTACGTACTCGTGCTATCTAAAGATATGCCCACACTTCACCATCCTACAACTCGTATCTCTGTTAAACGGGTCGGTCGCCAGCCCCGGGAGCTCAAGGACAGGTTAGAAGCTCCGGCCCTGAGTTTATGGCAAGGTTTATGCAGATATAGAGTCGCCTGCTTGCAGCGGTTGGTGGCCAGTCGGAAGTCAATATTTGATAGACTTCGAGGAGTTCATAACGACTCACAATCGGAGGTCGCTCGGTTGCTCTCATCTGATATTTTTGAGCTTATCGTCCTTATATTGTTTCCTCTGCAGATAGTGAGTGTGGAAAAATTTGCACATGGTCAACCACATATGTTGGTGAAATTCTCATTGTTCCCTATATATTTTTACCCCGGGATCGTATGTAGTTAGCGAGGGTATTTCCGAGTTCAGCTGAGGAAAGCGAGCAGATAATTGCAACCGCGGTTGGAACCGAACTGGGCAACCTCCGAAGAGGCAGTGAGGGCAGCGAGAGCCTCGCGGGCGAAGATTGGTTGGACTTGGCTCGGTTGTTGGAGGAAGACCTGCGGGACCAACTTGAACGACTTGACAGCGATGCGGAGTCTCGTGGTGAGTCGTTAGTGTCGTCGAAATTCAGCTCAGCTGAGCACATCTTCGATCGTTCCCTTAGTAGTAGTAGTAGTAGTAGTAGTAGTAGTAGTAGTAGTAGTAGTAGTAGTAGTGGTAGTAGTAGTAGTAGTGGTAGTAGTAGTAGTAGTGGTAGTAGTAGTAGTAGTAGTAGTAGTAGTAGTAGTAGTAGTAGTAGTAGTAGTAGTAGTAGTAGTGGTAGTAGTATTGAGCAGGAGAGTCATACTAGCGTATTGTCACTATGCTGCACTGTAGGCATTGAATGCATGCAACCGTGTTAAAGCCACACGGGCATCAGGGTGGTAGCGCACAGTGTGTGTATACGCAATTCTAGGGAAGTTGTCTAGAATTTGGTATGGAAATCGCACAGTTCTGTCCCTCTCGTGTTGGTTACATCGTTCTCTGTAGACTTCGCTGCATGCCGTCTGCATGAAATTGAAGAGACCGAATTGCAAGCTGCTGTTGAGGAGTTGTGAGCCACTTACTCATTGACACTTTGATTCTAACACGATCAGATATTTGTCACATATCGCCACCCAGGGGGGAGTTCCCTGTCCTTTGTGCTCACGTGGCAAGCTAGGTCTGAGTCGCTCTGATGGTTTACTATGGTGCGAGAACTGTATCGACATGAGGCTCCGTCTAGGAAGGCCTGGTAGGTGGTCTCTCTCACGTGGTTATGCGATGGTGTCACCATCCAGGTTTGAGTTTAGAGGACGATATCGCGCCTCTATTGCATGCAGCTGTTCGTCGGCATCTCGAGGATGGCCGATGTGAACAAATTCCGGTGTTCATGATAAGGGACGGCCGGCTCTTCGTTACATGCGGACTGTGCCGATGGAGAGATGAAGCGTTCTAGAATTGAAGCTACTGTCATGATTTAGTCCTTTTCAATGACTTTGGTATCCACATTGGGCAGCAGTGTTAATTAGGGCCACTATGAATGTGTCGCCTCTTTTCTAGTGCTTCTCGTGTGGCTCATTCTAGACTCGTGCGAATATACGCGGTCGACATAGTTCTACATAGTGATAGAAATGGGACAGCCAATTGTGTGGAGTATTGAAACTGTATCGTTTTTTCTGTCAACTGAATCTGAATGTGGTGATTTTCCGAGATGAACAGCCGCCGATGAATGCTCACTCCACACTCACGCGGCACACTTACAACAGTGTATTTCGCGATAACGATGATGAGTACATCAAAAGAGTTGTTGGACATCTAGCATCAGGACTAGGAGCACATGTGACAGTTCTATAGCTGTAATGGGCTCTACGCCCTTTCCCATGCAAGTTTGACAAGTGAGCAGGCAAGAATGACGGTCTTACGATCAGGTTGACTTTGAGAATTCAAGTATGTCACAATTTAATTACGTTACAATCAAGGTTGACAATGAAAATCTAAGTTTGTCACTTGTCTATTTTGTTACAATCAAGTTTGACACTTA